TCGACTGCAGATCGAGAGGTCCCTGGTTCAATCCCGGGTGTCCCCTAACTTTTTTCTTTCAAAAAAAAAATCAACCGTAATTCATTTTATTTGTAATGATCCGGTGTGAGTTTTAATATTATTGCTCCATTATGAGACAGTGATTGATGTTTCTCATTGAGCATGACCATTAATATAAAATTGTCCATCCCTTGATAAGAGAAACTAGTGAGTACACGTATAAAAAATGACTATACATATAGATAGATCATAGTGACGAAAGAAAAGACATAAAACAAAGACAGTATGTGTCGTGATAGACATTCATTTGCTCGTACAGTCATTGTTAATATTATCAAAGGTCGTTTTGTGTTATTCTCGATTGTATTTTAAATAAATGCATATATTCATAGTTTGAATATGAATGTGCTTTTCTTTTTTGAGAAATCGACAAATTCAAATGGATATATTTAATATTAATGAATATAAAAATAAAAATAAAAGTATTTAGTATAGCAATATAACTTTTTTTTTTCTAGAAATAAAATTATTTTGAACAAAGAATTCAAATGTTGAAAGAAAAAAGACACCGAAATATAAACAAAAATTTCAATGTATTGATATGATGAAATAGTCCACAAATATAGATTCATTTTTTTGAAGTAAATATAATAAAATTATCATTTTCTTTTGTTTTCTTCATATACATCATATTGAAGATTTTAAACTTAATAATCAATATTATATATTACATTGATGCTAATTTTCGTCTAAAATATATAAAATATTTCTCATCGTTAATACAGAGTCATCTCAAGTAAAAAAATTTTATTAGTTTACACTGATAACGAATAGTTTATAAGAAGTATCACTAGTGGTTTTTAAAAATATTATATTTCTTCTATCATATTTTATAAGGCAACAAGATAACCATTATATTATAAAAACTTCATATCTTACAACAACAACATATATATATATATATATTTATTTATTTTTAGAAGTTATCTTCTACTTTTTATTTTTAACATTCAATTGTAAAGAATTATAACTTTATATAAAATAAGTAGAAATAAAATTTTTTTCTTTTCAAATTTTTAGATTGAATTATGTTGTTATTGTTTTGGTTATTTCTTATTCTACCAGTGATAAATGTCACAAGTCGTTCATGTCATCATCATGATCAATCCATATCAAAAACTATATCAGATCAATTAATTGAATTAGTTACTCGAGGTGCTTTTCATGGTGTTACTTATTATCGTTTAGCTGCATTAGCTGATACTATTGGTCCTCGTCTATGTGGAAATGAATCATTAACTCAAGCTGTTAATTGGATACAAAGTGCAATGATTACTGAAGGTTTAGATAATGTTCATATTGAACCAGTTCAAATACCTCATTGGATACGTGGTGAAGAACGAGCTCAATTAATTCAACCACGTTATGCAAAATTATCAATGCTTGGTTTAGGTAATTCAGTTGGTACTGGTCCAAAAGGTATTCAAGCACCAGTACTTGTTGTACGATCATTTGATGAATTAAATGTAAGATGTGAACAAGCTCGAAATAAAATTGTTGTTTTTAATCCACAATGTGATTGGCAAACACACCCTGTAGATTGTTATGGTCCTGTTGTTGCTTATCGTTCAGGTGGAGCATCTCATGCTGCTAAATGTGGAGCATTAGCTTCTCTTAGTCGATCAGCTGCATCACATTCAATTGATTCACCACATACTGGTATGATGTCATATGATCCATCATATCCAAAAATTCCAGCAGCATCACTTTCTGTTGAACATACGGATATGCTTGAACGTTTTCAACAACGAAATCAATCAATAGAAATTTTTCTTTATATGGAAGCACAAACATTACCTGATGTTACAGGTTATAATCTTGTTGCTGAAATAAAAGGTTCAAATTTACCAAATGAAACTGTACTTGTTAGTGGTCATCTTGATAGTTGGGATGTTGGTCAAGGTAAATTTATTATTATGTATATTAAGAATTATATTAAGAAAAAAAATTTTTTTTTTTTAGGTGCTATGGATGATGGTGGTGGTGCAATGATTTCTTGGACTGTTCTTTCATTACTTCATTCATTAAATATTCGTGCTAAACGAACAATTCGTTGTGTTCTTTGGTCATGTGAAGAATTTGGTGGTATTGGTGCTGATCAATATTTTCTTGCACATGAAGATGAAGTATCGACTATGAGTATTGTTATGGAATCTGATATGGGAGTATTTCATCCACTTGGTCTTGAATTTCAAGGAAATAATAAAGCACAACAAGTAAGAAAAAAATTCTTTTTTTTTGTGATAAAATTTGTTTTCTAGATTATACAAACAATATCACAACAATTAATATCAATTAATGCAACGCAAGTTATACCAGGTGGTGGTGGTACAGATATCAGTCCATGGCAACAACGTGGTGTTCCTGGTGCTTCACTTCTTAATGATAATCGAAATTATTTTGCTTATCATCATTCAAATGGTGATACAATGAATGTACTTAATTCAACGGATGTTGATCTAGCTGCTGCTGTTTGGGCTGTTTATGCTTATGCTATAGCTGATCTTGATGACTTATTACCACGATAGTTTAATATTTGTGAAATTTTTCTTTTAATCTTTTTTTTTTTTTTTTGACAAAAGACAAACGAGAAAAATGCTTTATGTTTGTAAATCAACTAGAGAAAAGAAATGTTTAACTGTCAATCATTATAAATGCATAATTTACATAAGATGAAAAATAGAAATAATAACTTTAAGATTTACTTTTCATTTTATTTTTTATTCTTGTGCATTTAACTACTAAAATACATCACAATAATGGTATCAAAAGGTAGTGGTATACGTATAATTGTACATGATCAATATGATAGAATTCATTCAATCATACGAGATACAATGATTGAAAAAATTGAATCATTTTATAATTTACCATCTTGTATTTCATTTATTCAACAAAATTCAATAGATGAAAGAGCAATTATTTTAGTAACAACATCAATTGAAGATCATATTTTACAATCATTTGAAAATTTGAATTCTATTGAAGCTATTCTTATTTTATCGAAATCACGAAGAGAAATTGATACATTACCGAGTAAAGTCATTGGTATTTATTCTCGAATTGATAATTTATTACAAGCACTATTTGAAACATTGGATACAATAGAATTACAACTTGATGCAAATAGTATCCTTTTTCATCGTCAAAAAGACGGAAGTGATAATATAGATTTTTATTTTTATAGTATTTGGAAAACTCATAATACAAATCAAATAATAACAAAAAAAAATTTTATTGAACAAGCACGTATACTTTTTCATTCGAATCGTAAAATAAAATCTAGTATTCATGATTTTAATATATCATATAAATCATCTGAAGTTCTTTATTGGCTTAATAAATATAATCATCCATTTCCATATTATTTATTTATTTCAAATGCACTTCGTACACATGATCAACAAATTTTATATCTTACTCATTTTTTTATTAATGATTTAAGTCAACAAATGAAACCTGTACCAATAGGACCTAGTTATAATCAAGCTTTTTTTGGTACAAAATTACCTATAGATATTGTTGATCGACTTGAACAACAAACATCAAAAGATATTATTGCATTTCAATGTTTTCTACTTGCAACAAGATCAAGAACAAAAGCTTTATCAATAGCAACACAATTAACACGTCGTCGTAAAATGGCAAATGTACTTTTTAAAATAGATATAAGTCATGCATTATGTACATTTATGAATGATTCTATTTTAATTGATATGGCAACACCATTTCAAATAACATGTGTGACAAGAAATACAGGTTCTGGTGGTGTTCAACAATTAGTTACTATTGTTACATTAGTTTCAATTGATCGAAAACATCGAGAACAATTACTTGGACAATTTATTCAACGACAAAAAGCCGTAGGAAAAACCATCAATGATTTTCTACAACAAACAATTCCAGTTGTTAGGTTAGAAATTATTAATAATATTTTAATTAATTTGTTTTGTTTTTCTTTTTTCTTTTTTTAGAGTGGACAATAGTCATAAGAGAGAAAATGAAACTAAATCGGATATATCTCAATATTCTATTCCATTATATGTTGTTTCTGTATCAAAAACAAGTCTAGATTCACAAACTGTATGGTATGTAATATAATTATATTTTCAATAATTACTAATATGTATCTATTGAAAGATCAATAATAATATTCATAAGTTTTTGTGAAACAGAATTTTAAAAAAAGTGTTAAAACATAGAAGTAGAAATTCGCATCACAAACTTGATAGACTATATGTCAATAACGTATAAGACTTTTTTTTTTTTCAAAAATTTTGTCTTTTAAATCATTACAAAACAGTATGTTTTGTGTGAGTCGAAATAACATCCATTATTTTCTAAAAATAAAGCATCAAACGAATAGTACAAGACAAACAATTTCTTTTGAAAAACAACTTTTTTGCCGAATTTTTATGATTTCATGTTGTAGTTTGTTAATGAAAGTATCTATTCATGGTATTTGTTCTTATTCAGCACAATATATTAAAATCATTTTAAATTTAAAGTAAACTAGTAAACAATGTTTCTTGTTGATAAAAGAAGAAAAAAAAAGTTGTTCTAATACTAGTATTGTGTTAATGAGGAATATAAGATTTCATATTGTTCTGATGAAATCTTCAACAGAATACTAATAATCATTTTTAATCAAAGGACATGTACATAATATTATTCATATATAAATATGAAAGCTTTGGAATATATTTTAGATGTTATTAGAATAATATAAAATTGTAATGAATGAGAAAAAAAGTTCTTGTACAAAAATGTTTATCTTGGATTAATCGTTTTGAAGAAAATAATGGACATATTGAGAGTTCTATTTTCTCTGAAATACTCAATGTATAAACTACATTCTGAAATACTATACTACGTTTCATATTTTAATCCTACAGATATTACCTTTACAACTTTTATTGTGTGATATTCTATTGAAGTTCTTTTTTTTTATATGTATATGATTTACATAAAATTTCTTCTTCATTTAGTGATGATGAAATTGAAGCAGATGAACTTATAGCTCGTGGTAATTGGGCTCAAGCTGTCGATGCTTTAGTTCGTATAGATAATCCAAATATTCGTGTTTTAAATAAACAAGGATGTTTATTACGTGAACGTTTACAAGATTTACCTGGTGCACTTGAATGTCATCAACAAGCATTAATTAAAGCAACTGATGAAGATAAAGCTGAAACTCTTATTTATCTTGGTATTGTTTATCATGATATGAAACAATATGCTGAAGCTTTGAAACATTATTCTCAAGCATTACAATGGTTTGAAAAAGAAAAACCACAAGATTTAGCTATGATAGCTCGATGTTTTATTGGTCTTGGTAATGCACATTGGGCACGTAAAGAACTTGATCAAGCACTTGTTTGTACTGAACGTGCTTTAGTTATACGTGAACAACAAATTAAACCACGAAATATTCTTGATATAGCTGCTTGTCTTGGTAATATGGGAAATATATTACATGATCAAGGTGATACTGAAAAAGCATTAGCATATGCTAAACGTACAGTTAATTTATTAAGTAGTAGTGGACATCATGATCTACGATTAGCTGCAGCATTAAATAATTTAGGTGCGATGTATCAAACATGTGGATTAAGCGATAAAGCACGAGAATATTTTGAACGTGCATTAGAATGTGTACCAGATGAAAATCATCCATATCGTATAAGTGCATTGAATAATATTGCACGATTGAATGAGCTTGAACAAGAATAAACATAATTTGTTTTCTTTGTTGATTATATGCAAAGACATTTTTCTGACTTTTATATATATATATATTATTGTTTGTTTGTTTATTTTTATTTGTAAGGAAATATGAATTAAGTCAAAAGAACAGATAAAATAACTTCAATATTCAGTGAAATTTAATCATATGATATTTTTTGAAATGGTAGTCGAGTCGATGAAATTTTTATTTAATTTTCATATTAATATAAAGTTCTATTTTCAAAATTACTTATGGGATAGTTTCTGTTTTTATTGCTCGAATTTTGACTTGATACTATTCGAGTTCTTTCTATGCAAACATTCTAAAATGTCTTGGAATCTATATTTCGAGATTTAATTAGACGATTTGAACATCGAAATAGTTTAAAGAATTGATGTGTTTTTGAAAAAGAAATCATCAAAAAGTTTTACTGAAAGTAGAAAAAAAAAATTCTTAACTTATATATTGACGTTAAACTTGATAGACTTTAACAATATTTGAAAATCTTAGTTGTATATATAAAAACCCGATTGAATCATTTGCCATTTAGAAACACAATCAGTCGATTATATTTAATTAACAGTAAAGTTATACGTACAAGTTGTTCACGCCAATCTTTGTGGCATTAAAATGTGAAACATGATGTAGCTGTTGTTACTAATCACATGAAAATTGTTTTAATATTAAAACGAGAATTTATTCATGTAACGACTTTGACCGTATGTCAACAATGTCTGCAATGAACCATTTCTAACATGTGTAACATTCCTTATAGATCGTACTTCACAAAAAACTCGTGGCTAGACATCAGCGTGACCAACATTTTTTGGTCATGGTCACGATCAGTTTGGTCACGGTTACGGTCACGGTAGCCACGCCAGTCTCTATATGAACGACTATTTTGTTTTTTCTCAAAACAGCATACCCTTCTCTTCCGATAGGAGGTCCCTATATTAGAAGGCTTTCCATAATAGAAGACCCCCTTCGAGAAATACGTGCGAGACTTAGTATAAGACATTATCCAATTATCGAATTTTTCGAAAAATGACAACTTCAACCACTGGATTTACATCATAATATGCTTAGTTTTCAGCTGCAAAATTTAACTAAGTGTTTTCAACATTTTATCTAGGCTTTTAAAATCCGAAAAATTCCTTCTCAAAGCATCAAAATCGCTTTGGCTTTCTGAGCAATTTTTTTAGTTGCAATCTGTAAAAAGAAAAGAGACATTACCCAAAACTCTCTGGAAAACTTTTAGGATTAGACACAATAGAAAACCTCGGATCTCCTCGTGCGGAGAGGCAAAAGGTAATATAACAGATAAACGAAAAAGATTAGGTATGAAAAAAATTGATGAATTTGTTTTTGAGAAAATTTCTTAAAGTTCTTGAAAGTGTATTTGGCCAAAAACCTGAATAGAAATGGGTGAAATCAGAACAAGTAGAGAAATGATCAATCGTCGAATAAGTCATCAGATAAGAGTCAAAAAAGTCGAAAATATATGAAAATGACAAATCTTGTTCAAGGAGGTCATAATATTTTTTAATGGTACACTTTTTTCTAAAATATTTCTATGCGAACAGTTTAAAAAATATTAATACTGAGTACATTTTTTCTGGTATCGCGATTGTATTGATTCTATTCCTTCGTTTTAAATGAGCATAATTAGAAAAGGATATTGAAACATATTGAAAGAATACTAAATATAATATTTAATTCTCTAATAAAGTTTGAAAATAACTGCTTTATAGTTACATTGAAAATTTATCGTGACTGGTCGTGACCAGGTTTTGGTCACGGTCACGACTTTTTTTCGAAAAATGATCACGATCGTGACTCAGGACCGTGACCGTGACTCACGCCGGTCATGCCGATGTCTACTCGTGGCACTCTCTGTATATCAGCAGAATGGAATTTTTTCCGATAGTAAATTAATTTCTATTCGATAGTTTTTGTCTCAGGATATTCGGTAAATCAATACTGAAGTATTGATATTTTACGTAGTCTTATCTATTGAATAATCAACAATAAACTTAATTTAAAAATTTTGAATCCGATGGGCTCTGGTTATGACAAGCAAAATCACTAGTGCTATTTTATAAAAACATAATTATGTTGAAGAATTCAATACAAAAATCGAATAATATAAGAATATGGAGGATAAACATTACTGAGTTAGAACTTTTTGCTACTTCAAATCAAGGACTGATCGAAATTACTTAAAGGGTGATTCAAAAGTTTTTGGTCATCTCAGAAAAATTGCTCTTTCTCGCTTGTAACATATCCAAAACAGCTCAAACTTTAACATCCAATTCCTTGTTACTAGAGGAATATTAACCTAAATTTTCAGATTTTTAGTCCTTATTATAGGGAAGATGTATAGGTTTGTATGATAAGAAAGATTTTTTTTTTCCCCATGTCATAAAACCAAAACAACGAAGATTTGCAGTGCGCGCAATTGAAAATTTCAATAAAAAATTTTTTTCGTGATTTTTTTTTCATGCACTTTGATAGAGCAGAAGCAGCTGATAACGAAAAATTAATTTTGAGCTTTTGAAAAGAATTTTTAGGTGGAAGATTTTATTAAACTTAGAAAAAAAACCTTCTTTTTTTGTAAAGCACACTATTTTTCAAAATATTCCAAAAATTTTCTATTTCACTCCTTTTTTAAGCTTACGAAACTGGTTTTTTTTTTCGAATACTGAGTGAGTTTTTCAAAAGGTCAAAATCAATTTTTCGTAATCAGCTGATACTACTCTATCGAAGTATGTAAAAAGGTCACGAAAAAAATTTTATTAAAATTTTCAATTTGAGCTTTATCAGATGCGTTACGAGCGAGAAAAAGCAATTTTTTTTAGATGGACGAAGACTTTTCAATCACCTTTTATATTATGAATCATATTAATGTTGTCATAGCAGCTGAATCTTATTTTGACTTTATTCTTCTAATTAAATAAAGTTTCTTCACTCATCTATTTTCTTTATTTCTTAATAAGACAATAGAATGCAGAAAAATAGAAATTAAAATTCATCAATCGGCATACATTTTAATCAAACATAATCTTGAAGGTAAAAAAAGCAATATCTTGGTAGTAACTTGATGGAAGTTCTTTTCTTTTTTCCATTATTGTGTTCTGTTCTTTGATTACAACAATATGATTTTATTTCTTTTTTTTTTCTACTATAGAATAATGAGTACAACTATTTTTAGAATTCTGATTTAGACGCAAACATTGAGTATTTGTCTCTCGACGTAGTTAACAAAGAAAAATGTCTTGCGTAATTTTCTATTTTTTTTTTCAAATGAACTTTCATTTTTTTTTGTTGTTCTTATCATCAATGTCATAGAGTACACGATCGATTTCGATTGAATAAATTCTGTTTAGTAACAAATAGAATACGAGTGAGAAAGAAAAAAAAAACCGAGTGCGCAATACAATTCACACTTTAAATTCTTTTTTTTTCTCTAGCAAATACACTACATTCAACAATGGACAAAGCTGTACATGATTTATATAAACAAATAAATGACGATCAACAGAGAGTCATAGCACCAAATGATGGTAGTTCAACATCAACACCAACAATAACAGAAACAATTGATCAACATCCTGTTGGTCAACAAGCAACAAAACCAATCACTCAAGCTGATGTAGAAGCAAATCCAGCAATTAAACCAAATTGACTTTCTAAATTCCTTTTTTTCTTTTGTTTTTGTTTGTGAAAAAAATAATTTTTTTTTTTTTGTAGATATAAAAAATCACAAACTTGAAATACGATAATGGATCATGCAGTAGTGGAAAATGAAAAACGACAAACAGATATAAAAACTGTTAGTGATAATGCTGTCACAGGTGGTATAGCAGCAAATCTTCCACCACCTGATACAACAACATTAGAAGGAACAATTGCTAATGAAGCTAATCCAAACATCAATCCACGTTAAATGTAAATTATAAACTTTTTTTTTTAAAGACAAAATTTCACTTTTTTCATCTTGTATATTATTCAATTAATAAACTATGAAAAATTAAATCTCTTAATCAATCATTGAGGAGTAGTTTCTAGTTATTTAAATCCCTGGTTTTTTTTTCTTACTGTATGAAGGCAAAGATAATAATAATGTAGATGACAATTTTTATTATAGATGATAAAACGGAATGTGATCAATACTTAATACGTCAGTAAGAACAAGAGTTCAAATCTGTATTTAATTAAGATGAAAAAAAAAGAAAAAGAAACCTATAAAAAGAATGAAAGTTAAAAAAAGAAAAATTTTTTTATCAATATTCCTGAAAAAGAAAAAAAAACGATCAATTCAATTAAAATCGTTTAACACTAAATTCTACTTTGACCAAAAGTCATGTTTATGCTTTTGAATCTGACACAATATACGATTATGATTTACAAAAAAAATTAACAAAACAAAAAACAATAATCATTGAACCGAAGCTGTTGTAGCAGTTGATGAATTGTTTCGTAAACGTTTCATATCCTGTGGATCATTTTCTACATTAGATTCTGATGGTATTGAACGTTTTGCAATTCGAGCTGCTAAACCAATATCATCATTTTGTTCTACATCATCAGAAGCAGTTTGATCAACGATTGTATTTATAACTGATGAAACTGTATCGTCATCTTGTTCTTCATTACCTACATCTTCTAATGCTTTCAAATAAGCTTTTTTAAGTAAACATATATCAAGAAATTTTTGACCACTACGACGACCAAATGATGCTTTCCATAAACGACCTACTGTTGATGATGATAAAATTTCATCATCTTCATTTTCTTCTAGAAAACGAAAAAAAAAACATACTCAATATTTGAAAAATATAAAAGTTTTTTTTTTTTAATAACTCGAAGCGTTTAACATTGTTATGAGTAACAAATTACAGACTATTCTAGAAGTTTCGTTAATTTGATGGAAACAAAACTGTTCGATTGATTATAATGTAATCAACAATTGAATAGAAGACTATCTTACTTATGCGCAGTAAACAGAAATTAAATGAAAGGTCACAGCTAACAATTCTAAAATTACGATTTGTAATTTAAAATCGTAAATATTTGATAACGATAAAAAAACAAAAGCTCGTCGAGTTAAATATTTACTGAGATGAAACTTAATATCTTAATCATAATAATTAAGCATACGGATCGATTTTGTACTATTTCAAAAAGATTAGGTAAGTTTAAATTCTTCATAAGTATACTTAATATAGCAAATAAAACATTCACTTTGAGATATTCCGTCAATCTTCATAGGATATTCGTTTCAGAACTATCATACGAATCTGAATATAAATTACAAATAATGTTATTTGTATTGCAAACAAAATTATGTCCGCAGTACAATCTATTATGTACTAATAGACCTTTGAAATTCTATTGCGTATCATGACAGTTATTTCCCTTGAGGCATCATTTCAGAAACAAAGGTCACACTGTCATTTATCTATCATAACATATTACAATTAAGATATGTTTTTTTTTCTCCATTATCAACACATATTGATAATACATAGTATAGGTCTAAAACGTTTTCTATAATAATAAGAATACATAATGCAGTATTTTACTCAGATTATTTTTCTTTCAGAAGGACCAATACGCTTTCTCTTAGGTTTTTTACATAGAATAAAACATTGGCATAATGTCGTATTCATATATAATCTGATTTTGTAATATTTATTTTCTAAAAAACAAACAAAAAAAAATAGAGAATTTTTTCTTGATTACCTTCTGCATCATCCACAAGTGTCATTGGTGTATTAAGAAAAAGTTTCGAATCAAATTGTGGTAATTCATCTTTATGTTCTAATAATTCACATAGATATGTTTGCCTTTGTGATAATTCTTTAACTTGTATTAATAATTGTCTAACATAATGTTGTTCAAATAATTCTGCACGTTCTTCACAACGAAATTTAAATTTTAAATCATCTTGATATATTTCAATTGATAATAATCTTGATGATAAAAGTTTAGCATATAATTCATTTTTTGTATTATCTTGTTTAAGTGAATCAAGTTTTAACATCGATTCTATACGTGTTAATACAGGTTGTAAATCATTACGATGATAAGATTTTTTACGTGGATTATTTAATAATTGTAAACGTTGACGAATTTTTTCTTCATTTAAATGTTCAAAATAAGCTGTACCATTTAAATAAAATGCAACTGATATTGAATTATCTGTCAAATGTGGTTGACATAATAAAACAATATGACGATATGGTGGATCAAGACAACCAGCAAATGTTGTTAAATTTGATGACATACGTACAAGACGTATAGGTGTTTGAGCAAATGTACGTGTACATGTTGTAGTAAAATCTTCAAATGACATATCTAAAATATAAATTATGAAATTACCTTTGGCGTTTTTTGTTTTATTTAAAAAAAACTTCTATCCTAAGGAACAGTTTTCGAAACTAATCAACTATTTAGGGTCTTTCTTTTTTTTCTTCTTCTTCTTCTTATTTGTTGAATCAAATGGTTTTATAATGTTGATGAATAAGATTCATTTTTAAGTATACGTGTTTGATATTGAGTATTAAGTTGTTCGATAAATATAAATGTAAGAATTGTATGTGGACCAAGACGAGAAAAATATGCTGTAAAACCTTTCCAAAAACTGAATACACCTTCTTGACGAAGAATACGTTGAAATATATCCTAAAATATTTAAGAAGAAAATATAATTGATTATTAATTATTTATTACTAATCTTATTATCAATGAAAATGTAATGATACATCAATGTGAATATTTAAATTCAGAAATTATTCGAAAGAGTAAAAATTTACTTAACGACAACTTTAAAAATATTGTCTACGCGAGTTGAACTAGAGGTGACTGATTGAATAATGTAAGAAAGTAAATATACATTTCGAGGTAGAAAAAAGAAAAATGATATGACCGATAGTGAACTACATATATGTAGACGAATGAAAACGAAAAAGAAAAAGATTCATGACCTATACATACTATTCGACGAAAGAAAAAAACCGGCATATGTTTGAACATACGTGTATTGACAGAGCAAAGGACAAGCAATAATTTTTAAGTACAAAAAAAAAAGAAGCAGGACAAGCTAAATATTTTAGAGTGAAATGCATGAATAATTATATAAGATATATTAGTTTCAATATTGTATTGTATTCATTGAAGTTGTTATATCGACAAGACTAATAAGGTACATGAAGTTGTCACAGTAACTGACAGAATGAAAATAACAAAAAAAGAGGTCAATACAGAGGTCAACTATTTCCTTTCTTTGTGAAGGACACGAAAACTTATCAACGTATAAAATATGAATTAATGTTCTCGTACGAATAGAACGTTATCATATGTACTCTATTCATTGAATTGTATTCATATTTATATTCAATTATTTTTTTTTTTGTATGAAATGAAAAATTAGTAGATTTTAAAATCATGACGAAAAAAGAAAAAAGTTCAAGGTGTACTTTTTAATAATAATAAAAATAAATCATATCGATTCGAGTTTTATTATTTATATCTATTAACTTTAAACTAAGTATTATTATGCATGATTAACTCAATTTTATGATTCATATCACAAGTTATAAATAAAAGATATAATCACATAAATCATAGAATCAATAATTATCATTGTTCTAAAGTGCTAACAACTAATGAATGATACCGAATGGCTCTCAAGAGAATTTCCGCATATGTCTCATTCCGATTTCAATGACTCTTATTGTCTATAGATACTATACAATATTTTAATAAAAACTTTGAAGACCTATTGAGATTTGACTAAGTTATCGCACTTCGATCTAATACTTAGTTTATATAGAGAATTTAACTAAACTAGCTTTCATAGAAAGATTCAGAACTTTTCAACAATGTGTCCTCGAGATACGAGACTTTCAATGTATATATCCTTTACCTTGGATAGTGTTGACAACATGCATGTTTTATGGAAGCTAGTCTAGTTGAATCATCTAGATGCGCAAAATTTTAGATAAAAATTTGAAAATACAAGTAGTCCTAAGATTTGGCACTTCTATAAACTATACATATTAAAAATTCAACATCTTCATAGGATTCCAAATCCTTTCAAGGTTTTTATTAAAATATTCTGTAATATTTATAGGCCAGGATTTTATTGTGATTAATATGACATAAAACGGTCCCTATTATAAATCCTATCACACTAACAGTCTCAAGTCCTGAAAACTACTACCATAGAAACCGGTTCATTTACAAATATGACAAACAATAGCTATAGAAAAGTTACAGATGTTGTAAGTATATCATTAAAACAATCTTCTTGTGATTAGCAATAGCAATCACATCATACTTTACATTTTAATCCTACAAGGAGGGTGCTTACAGTTTTTTTCTTCAAGTGAATTTTAACTTCAACCATGAAGAAAAGTGCTTCAACATATTCTCTTTAAAATATGGGATTATATTATAGTTTGCTTGAATACAATGTCATATTTGTTTTTTAAGAATTATTTGGATTTAAATTTTTTTTGTTTAGTAGATTTTTATACAAAGAAAAGATAGATAAATAATAACTTACAAATATTCCATTATATTCTGGTTTTCCTTGTATAATTTTCATATTTTGATATCTAGTTTTAACAATATCCACAGGTAATGATACAGCTGTTGTTACAAAAGCTGCAATTAAAGATGAAACAGCATGTAATGGAAAACCTTGTTGCATAAGACCAGCTGACATAATTGCTTGTTTAGCTTGTGAATAAGTCGGCATTTGTGCAGCATTAACAATCATAGCTCGTGTTGCTGTTGGTATAGCACCTCTCCATAATTTAAAAACACCTTCTTCACGTGTAATACGTACGAGTGCATCAAATACATGTGCATAATTTCGTCGTTCAGCCATAGGTAATCGTCCATCAAGTGTCATACGAATTAATGCGACTTCAGCTGGTGTACCAATAAATGAACCTAGACCACCGGCAACAACACCTAAAAGAAGATTGATAAAAAAAGGTGGTGGACGACCATCTGGTTGTCGAAAACGTTCCAATAATGTTTGATAGATTCCTAAACGAGCTGTTGTATATGTTGCTTGACGAAATAAACCAGCTGAAAGACTTAAATAAATTATATTTAATAAAATTTCAATCTTTTCTTTTTTTCGAAAATAATTATTTACCCAGCATAAATACCGCTTAAACCACCACTACGAAATATTGCTCGTAATGCATGAAAACTTGTTTTATGTTCTCGTGCACCACCACCTTCACCACTCATTTGCATTCGATTTTTGACAACATCCATTGGATGAACAAATAAAGTAGCAGTCATACTAAATATAAAATGAAATACAAAAAAGAAAAATAAAAATAAGAAATTTTTTATTTACAAACCCAGCTGTACCACCGATTAGAAACTTAATTGAATTTGGTGTATTTGCTGGTGGTTTTGGTTTAGCCTTTATTGGTGTTGGCACATCAGATGGATGAGCTGGTGTAGATGTCGAAGCCATATACTATATTTTTTGTTTGTCAGAATTGTTTAGATGTCGTGAAGAAGGAAATTAATAGATTTTTCAATGAAAATCTAAAACAACATGTAAATAGATATCTCGTTTTTATGAACAAAGTTATTATTATCTGTCTCTTATTGTGAAAAATATTTTTATGCAAAAAAAAACACGTGTATGAAAAAATAACATATAGTTAATAATAATTATGTACGAATATTCATCTAACTAGATTTTAGGCTTCTTTGTATGAACTTTGACTATAATGTTTTTGGAAGAAAAACAAAAGTAATGCTGATTGCTTTTGTTCGTGTATGTCATTATATTCATCGCAAGACTATGATGTTCATTCAATTGAAATTCTTAAGTTTATACGTCAATACTTTGCCTACTTTCAATATAGCTTTCACCTTTCATACAGAATTTTGCGTGTGTTTGAATTACACCAATAAATGTAATCGTTGTGTTTGATGTAAAAAAGTGCAAATAAATAGAGCGATTCTTCTACTTAGTCGATTACGATAAGGTAAGTTTGTTTTTCTCCAATGAAATGCAAAATATAGTAGCTTTATAAAATCGTAAGTAAGATGGACACTCAAGTTTTGTTTGAGGAACTTAATAATGGAAATAATTTGGATTAAAACTAGGTTCCAGTATCTGATAAAGAAACAATCATTAATACGACATAGCAGAGAATCTATAAAGAAGAACCAATAAAAACTTAAATGTGATACTCTTCAATGCAGATGTCACTTGCATGTGACTGGTCAACATTTAATATAAAACTTGATTTCGAGAAGTCTCAAAATTTTGTATATAATTCTGTATGAAATCAATCATAGTTTGTTTATTCAATCGATGAATTATGTTAATTCATTTTCAATTTCAAAAAGTTTTCTCGTTTGATTTTGGATGTAAAATTCATTTAAATCAAGCCTTGGACAATCCCCGGGGAATCTATTGAAAAGCTCCCCAGGGAATCCTGATAGACATTCTTTCGTAACGGTGTCTGTAAACAGTCGTGTACGATGTACGTATCCTTGTATCTGCATTGTACCCCACTAATTAATGAAGAGATCCGTGTCTTTTCTTTCGCAAATATAAAAATTCAATTTGATTGATTTTTTAAAACAATATTTAACTTTGTATTAGCGTTTGAGATTACCTTAAAATTAAATTTAAAAAAAAATACTTCATGTGACAACTATTGTTACGTTTAAGCTAAATAAAAAGGATGGAATTCATATCTTAAAATAATAGTTATCATCAAAGTTGTTAGCTGAATTTGATATAGATTAAAAAAATTGGACTAGATTTTTTAAACTTATACTTGAAGTTGGAGTTAGAGTTAACTTTGATTGAAATAAACTAAATATAATCTTTATTCTACTTTCTTAATTTAAATCGCAAATTGTCTACTATTTATTTATTTTTTGATTCCTATCTTGTTTTTGTAACAGCTGGACGTTTTTGCACCCAACGATTTAGCTCTGAGTATCTATAACATTTATATAAAATAACAAAAATAGAAAAAGTTCAAAATGAAGCTTTGTTTTGACAGTTTCAAAGGAAAATATCAGCGTGTGAATAGGTCATCTCCATTTTATTCGCACTCACGTCTTACAATTACATCTATTACTTATCCACACTATCATCTTTCGTAGTTACACTATTCAGAAATATAATAAAAAGTCATGGAAAATAAAAATAAAGTGCAAACATTCTTTATGGTTTTTATTGTGCAGTCAAATATCAAAATCATGTATTATATAACAATTATCATTTTCATCTGTATATATTTGAAATTTAGTTGTGCAGTACAACCAATGACATTAATCCAAGTTCTTAAACATATTAATTGAATCATTACAATTGTCCATAATCTCTAGTATACACTATCTCAATCTAGAAAAATAACTTTTTAGATCTATGAGAATTGCAGTTAATATTATTAGATATTTATCAATGAATCGTGGACCACATGGAACTCTAAATGTGTTGAGGTGCGGTAAGATTTCTGGGAATTCATGAAAGAATGTTGCATGGTATTTTGGTGGACGTTGTGGAAGTCTCTCATAATAATTTGCCTCTTGATGTTCTTCAATGTACAAATGAGTAATTTAATCCGAATTTTTTATAGGAAGAATATTTTTTAGCTGTTGAATTATTGTTTGTGTACGATTACTGTAGAAAGACAAAGTGTTTAAATTCGACGATAGAATAATAAGTTTCAATATGAATTGATGTCCTTCAGATACCGTACTTTTGTTGGCAAAACTAAGTTTTAATTCTTTCAAATGCAAAACTTTTACATCAGTTATTTCGTTCATCATTTGTGGGCATCGTTTTAGAGAGGTTTGCGGTGGAGATGCTGACTGAACTACAGTTTAGTAACTGTTCTAGGGCAACTATTTTGCCAAAATTCAAAGTTCGTAGTAACGGCAAGTGAGATGTGGTAAAATAAAGATAGAGTAGGTTGAGTCTACTTGTTGTTCAATATAGAAAAAGAAAACTCACAAAGGACACATAACTGCGGTGAGAAACAAAGCATTTAAAAATTAAGTTGTAAATAATAAGTTACCGGTTGATCTTGTATTTAAAACAAGTCTGAATGAAACAACAAAAA